CTCCTCAACTCTTTGCTAGGAACTTGTGAGCCGCTGGAGTACATGTTATCACTACTGTAGTCCACAAGTAAATTTGAATTCAATCAGAAAACAATAGTATGGGATCTGTCAACGTGATCATCATAATAAGACAAGGACAATGATATATATCAAACCTTGATTCTTCTTCAGTTAAGTCCTCACTTCCACCCAATATCACACTTGTGCATACGCTACAAAGAACAAAAAACAGAAAGATCACATTAAAGAATAAACCACCGCTGCTAGAATAGCCCATGATATTATCAACGAATTTGAAGTACCTTAGAATCTGATCGAGTTTATCAAGTACTTGAGGCAATCTCAAAGTTAAAATTATAGAAAGAGCCAAACCAAGTGTCTTCCTCTGGGTGGAAATTACATTGTCAACCTGCACCCATTTCACAGGCAGGGAAATGTAAGAAATGTCCACCTAGAAACGTATATTAGAGAGGGAAAAAAAGGTTGCAGACACTGAAACTGAATCCAAATTAGGCTCAATGAGAAATGCAAAATCACAGCGACGCAAAATGCACATTCAGAATACAACAAATAGATAAAGTAATATAGACTGGATTGAAGAAATTAGAAGCAGGATAGGGTAAGAAGATAGCTAGGGGAAGAAGAAGGAGAGAAGTAGAAGAGAAGAAAAGGCGGTGGAAAAGGAAGAACGCTTCTGCAACACTCAAAATTCATTCATCCATCAAATTTGTCACTCATGTATAGAAGGCTGCATACTTTTATACAATACAAAGCATAAAAGGGCTTGGCCTAGCCCAATACATGATACAAGCCCAAAAACAAAATAAAAGGCTTGGGCAAGCCCAAAACATAATACAAGCCCAAATAAAATACTAACTAAATAGTCCAAGCTAGATATCCTCATCATAAAGTCTATCGGTGAAATAGCAACCCCATCTAGGAACAAAAATGCACAGTACACAACAAATCAACCCCTCATTTCCAAGACACATATGCCACAAGAGCATTAAGGTTTCAGGAAAAAGATCATATGCTAAGGCTGTTGGCAGATTAGCGTATAACTAAATTTTAAGTTTTTAACCCAACACATTTTTATACCTTCGACGTTTCGAGCACCTATATAAAGTTTGTATAACTCCTGGCCTAGAAAACATTCTTTTGCACCTCAAGAAAGTGTCTTCACAAAGAGTAAATAAAGAGGACAAACACAAGTGTGCAAGAACTTTCATGTACATCTAATAACATGGCATCAATCAAGGATTACACAAATCCAAACAAAAGAATAGGCTGTGGCATCATGATAGATTGCTAATGTAGCACCAATGAATTAAGACAATATGTAATTACCAAGATGCCCAGAATTCAGAAAGAGAAAATTTGAACTGGTAAACTGTGCATGTATCATTACACACCATATTTTTCCAAGATGAAACAGAGTTCTTAAATTACATCACAACTAATTAACAGACAGAAATTCTAACCTTGTCAAGCCATACATCTACCAGGCAAAGAAGTATGCTTTCTTCACTTGGGAATCCAGTTTTCTGTAAGAGTGCTAAAAGTGATGGATCTGATGTCAGTTGCGCAAGGTAGTTAGTGTTCATGACTAAAACCCTTGCTAGTATGGCTGCTGAAGATGCTTTAACAGTTGTTTTAGAAGGATCATGATCATCTCCTCCAGTCAAGCACATGAAGATTAATTTCTAGCAAGATATTGCAAAATTTGAACTTAATGAATCTATCTAGAGTGGAGGATAGAGAAAATAACGAAACCTAAGGATGCTACTAGAAAAACAATCAAAGCTAAAGCAAGCAACCCAGTTACCTGTATAGTTGTGCTAATTAATTGGGGCACTTCAGTCGGGAAACACTGCCAGATTGCAAAAGCAGATGGATATTATTTACTCAGAATTCATTTAATGTCTGCAGTTGCATCTCATTCAAAGTCAAATCTGAAACAAGATGGCATTCCAGTTGCAGCAGCATATATTATAGTCATTAATAAGTACAAAAGCCACTCATCATAAAGGCCAAACCACTTTAAAATCAGATCAAGACAAGCTTTCTCAATTTTAAAACTCAATCCATAAATCACATGCTATTCGAACCTGTAAAAGCTGGTGTTGCTTCCTTCGATAATGCATTACTATTAATAAAACCTTAATTAGTCAGGTCAATTCAGTTGCAAAGTCGATTATATACCAAGTCTACTTGATAATGGCCAAAACATTTCAAAAATCAGATCCAACAAGCTTGATTCCCTTCTAATTTAAAATGCAATGAGCAAATGAAGAACTTACTTGAACGTGAAAAATGATTTGCTTCCTTTAATACCATAGTGCTCTATCAATATAACTATAATATATGTAGCACTGAGTCAGATTAATCCACTACCTGAACTAAAGTATCCACAAGTGGAAGAATTGAAAGCAACCCCCTGTCATTGACATTACCAACAACCAAATCTAGAAGTTTTGCAAGAGTAGATGCGTGCATATTGAGAAATTCAATTCCACCCAAAACTATGTAGCTTTCAATGATGCTGGCAGCCATCTGCAAGTCACATCAAATGTCAGGAGAATGTAACCTTCCAAAAAAATGTAATTGCTGAAGATTGAAGAGTAACTCCAAACCTTCAAGTGATCAAAGCTTCTTTCCAAGATTTCCACCAGACATGGGAAAAGGCCTAATAGCTGAGGCATTATTGAGGGAGCATGAGAAAGAGTGGCTTCCCACAGCTGAATGCCAGTCAGATTGAAGAGGGATAAAAAGAAAAAATGGTGAGCCTTACGACTGATTAGGATGAGTCTTGAAGTTAGATGTTGAAATGACATACCTGCATGGTATCTTCCAAAAGTTCATCAGGGCTATCTACACTGATTCCACTTTGTAAAATGGGGACTACAATGTTGTAACAGATAGGTGATTGATAACCAAGTGCAACTATAAAGTTCCTGAGTGCTGCCAGAAGCTGAATCTGCATAAGGCTCTCACCAGAGGATTCTTCCCAGCCCTATGAAAGTATATTAAGTCATAATCTAATATGCTGACAGCTAGCACTTCATGTAAATTGTTCGTATCTATATGACTACTGAATAAGACTTCTTTTTTTGCCTTTTGAACGCATAAAAGGGCAAAAACGGCCACTCAAGTGAATGTTACTAAAACTCAGTGTGTGTACCAGAACAACAATTAGTCTATGAATTTTTCTTTTTATCCCAATAACTGTAGCAAACAAAAAACGGGCAACTGATACCAGCATGGGCAAAGAAAAAACTCAAAAATGAACAATATTATCTACATAGGGCAGATGCATGAATTCTACTCAACCTTGACTGAGATGGATAAGAAAATCCAGTAGGCAACAAGGCAATCTCATGCTCTAATAGATTTCAGAAAAAGATAGCCTGTAAAAATTAATAATGGTAAAGGGAGTCATGCCTCATTTCCCCAATGAACATATGGAATCAATTTCAAAACTATCAATAACAAAGCAATAGGGACATGGAGATAATTTTAAACCTTCAATTCCTTACAGATTCAATTTATTCTTCTAGTTTTTCCCATTTTTGTTTGTGGTTTAAAAAGGAAGTGGTATAGTTGAAGAGAAAATATAGGATTACATTCTTTACAGTAGAAAACAAAAATGTATTCATAAGTTGTATAAAGGAGTCTATATGTAACAAAAAAACATAAATAAGTTTAGAATCGATACCTTCTGGAAAAACTGCATCAACTTGTTTGCATACGGAATAACTTCAGTAACCCGTGCAATGAGACTAGCGATTGTATTCAATACTTGCACCTGAACGTGAAGTTTATGGAAACAAATGTTCAATGGATAACTTGGTCCATAATTATTGAGAAAAATATAAGCCAAGTAAAAGTAAAAGCATGTTGAGATTTGGAATCTGACTAGAGAAGAAGTTGCTACAGAATTATGGTTCATTTTCTACTGCAAGTAAATCAATTTATTAATAATTGCAACAGACTGACTGATGCAAGACGAATTAAAGAATAGAAAGAAGAAGCAAGGGAGGGAGAATGGGGAGAGAAACCGGAGAAGAGAGAGAAATTAGGGAGGAGGGAAGGAGGAAGAAGCCATAGGCAACAGACCACCAAAATATTCTTCAATTCATCAAACTCTCAAGTACAAGAACTAGATTTAAATAATGAAACAAAAACCCTAAAGATAAGGGCTTGGGCCAAACCCACTAGACAAGCCCAATGAAATAAAAAGACATTAATAAATAAAACACGAAATAAATAAAATAATTGGGTTGATGTCCGCATCACAGACTACATAACAAAATGAGATGTGATCCAGTGACTTCATAGCACTAGGAAATAAATCATATTCCTCCTTAAATGTTTACTCTATCATTTGTTGATTCTATCAAGATTTCATTTTTCATTGAATTATACTTTTAGGTCACTCACCTTCATGTCAAGTACTAACCATCAGTAACTAATACCAAGTTAAATTTAATAATAATATTTCAGGGGCTAGACATGTCCAAAAAGTCACGAAAGCATCATGACTAATTGTTTCCGACAAACAACTGACCAACACTGGAAATTTTGTTGATATATTTGTGCTAGATGGTAATAGACTTGCATAAAGAAACCACCTGTCATTAGTAGGTAAAAATCTTTAACAGGCCAAGACAACATGAAACAACAACTGAAAGTTTCATAATATAGCTATGGATGTACATCAGATCCAGATCCACTGGTGATATTTCCTTCCAATAAAAAGTGCGACAAAAAGTTGGATATATATTTATGAAATTCATGCTACTTTTAAGCATTAGCTCACAAAACAATAGATATCCACAAATTGCAGACAACAGATAAATGCATTTTTTGATACATTAAGAATACACCAATTGAATGTTCAAAAAATCTCAAGAAATGATTTGCAGAAACTGAGTTGTTAAAAAATACATAATAATATTTCCCTGGATTACGCTGCCATAAGGAATAACTTCCATAGCATCATTGCAGAGTGATTATTACAAAGTTTTATTGGTCATGAATATGCACTGACTAATTGTACAATACCGCCTCAACACCAAATGGAAAATCCTATTAGAAAAATAAAGACTGTTGTAAAATACCTAAAGAGTATTTAGCACGTGATATAATAGAACTATGAGAAAGCAGAGCAATAGGTAAGCCCGTGAAGGATTACAACCATAGCTTAAAACGAACTTATGACAGCTAAGGCTCTATTCTATTTGACATCGCTCTTCACGTTACTGTGATTTCATTTTAAGGTTAGGACACCTGAATATATGACCTAACCCAGATGAAGATCAAAGTCAAACATCAACTACTGATTCTAATACTCATGAACAATATCAAACACTGTTGTCAGAAACCATTTTCTTGCTAAATATTTACCATGAAAATGAGCACAGCTCAAATACACCCAGATTTATGCAGCACATCAATATCAAATCCTTTCTCCACTGTAAAAGTTCCACTCAAACAAGAATTCATTGGGCTTCTCTGACACTTTGTCGAGGGGTGGAAACAATTATCTATGAGAAATATAAGATAGCCAATTAACTACATTAAACAAAGAAAAAATAAGTAAAAATTACCGATCTCCAATAGGCTCTTTATTGACCCAATCCTCTTTATTTTATAGTCAGTCCTCAATTTGAGGAGTCCAACAAACTCTATGTATCTAATAATAAAAATAAAGACTGAATTAGACGCTCCAAATGTAGAGAGTGAAACTTACTCTCTATAGAAAACTTGTAATGATTTCATTCGTTATTTCACTATTTTCTATTCATTTTTTTGGAGAGAAATCTCATATTTCCGTATATGAAAAGAAGTATAGATATCTTCATATACCAAAGCGTGTAGATGAAAGGAAAAAAAAGGTTGAGCCCTAACTGCTAATTAAAACAACCACAAAATAAAGAATAAACATAGTGTGTTGTTGGACTCGTACAAAAACCACTCTTTATTTTTGAAAATTCTTAAAGATGCTCTTTATATGAGAAAATATGTTCTGTAATATAAAGAGCATTACTGAAGATGCTCTAATAATATCAGTAATTGAAATCTGAAACACCAGAAGACATGATCCATTCCTCTTAAATTGAACTAGGATATAGCTAGTACCCAAATCAAACAAGTGAAATAATAAAATGAGGCACTCAACAGAGTAACGCAGAAAAGCTAAGGATTAAACAAAAATTTCAAATCCAGAAAATGGAAAAGTGCGACGCATGATAAACATAAGCCAGAACAGAAAGTATAATTTACCTTAGAGTCGAATTCCTGGACTTCCTCCACCAGTTTGAAACAAGAATCCCAACACACTGGAAGAAGATCCAAAAATTCTTGTTCCGAGAAGTTTGCATCTTCAATATGGAAATACAAGGATCGTGATGCTGCCAACTAAAAATGAAGAAAGAAGAACTTTAACAATTATGTGGACCAAATCAAAGCAATTTAGAAAAGACTTTTAAGAAAATGTAAAATGACTAAAAAGACTAAAGGTTTGAACAAAGTGTAATATACCCTGACGCACAAGTCTCTGTCTTGAAGCAATTTGATTAAAGCACAGTATACTGGTCTTCTGGTGTCATCTTTAATCTGCAGAGAAAGCAAACAAGACAAACCAATTTTCAGAAAACTAGTTACATAATATGAGCAGTGCAGAAAAATAAATAAATAAATAAATAAACTTAAGATTTAATCCAGCCTAGTGTAACAAACAACCATGCTGTTTTATTGTTGATAGATATGCAGTCTCATTAATCAGGCTGTCAAAAGGTCAAATGATAAAGTGAAAATTAGGCAAAGTCTGTGTCTACCTAGTTATATACACTGAAATCTAAATCCTGCTGAAGACAAAAGGTGATCCAACCCAAATCTGATGGATCCTAAAATAGTACGAACGCAGTATTAAAATAGATGGGGTTCAATTATATCTTGCATATGCGAAAGAATCGTTAGAAATAACATGCACACACTCTCTATTATAGAGTAATGAAATATGTAAACTAACTTGCCTTGTGATCGTCATAGTGAGCTTAAAGTATATTATATTTTCTTGATGAAGCAGAATGCAAATGAAGATTTCATGGCCCATGCAAACACAGGGCATAGTCCACTGATGGCTAGCAATTCAACCTTAACTTTGGTTTATATCATGAATTATGACGAATATCGAAGTTAGCCTACTCAATTCTCCGAAGTTAATAGCCTGTTCAATTCTCCTAAGTTAATTGAGCAAAGTTCATAGGCGTGTGTAGGGAAGTGCATTTCTTTTCCTTTCTTTTTGCTGTGTCAGTCTAATTGGCCAATACAAAAGGCTAAAAAGTTACGGATTCACATACTGAGTTTAAAGGTGTTTAACTTCAGCTGCCAGCTCTATATACAAACAACAAGAAGTATTCAGATCAAGCAAAGGCACATCCACATTCAAGCGCATTACAGCAACCAAAAAGCCCCACCAAAATCCATCCTCAAGATCTCTGATAGAGGTAGAAAAATAGAGAGTGCAGGAAATCAGCAGCAGCAAATCAAATGATATCAAGTGCATTACCTCCGAAACCCATTGCCCCAGAATTAATGCAACTTTCCTGTGAATAATTCGCATGTTTGGATGATCGTTTGTAAGTTCAAGAGATAATGCACCATTGAACCTAGATAACAGTTCCAGGAGAATGTTCAGTCATAAAACTACGCTGAAAAAAATGATTACAGGTTGTAAAGGAAGTAGAAAGATCTTTTCTGGAACTAGCATGTAAAGCACGGGATAGATAATATATCTAATCATAGGGAAATCAATTAGACAGAATAAAAAATCTAACACAACAACGTAAAAACTAGAAGGTTTTGAGTACACATGATACAACAAAAACCATCCTGAAGCAGGCTAGCCCGTGTATTGAACGTCAACCTGTCCCCATTTCTACAAATGTAGATTGATCATCAAAAACTCAAATTAAAATGTTTAGGACAAGTAACAACTCAATTAGTTTACTTTTACTACGGTTGGCATCAACGCATATACAGTAATAAACAGGCGCTTTCAAAATGGAGCTGTGTGACAATAGAACTGTATCAAGACCTTTCCATACATATTTTTCCAGAGACAATAGGTTACTGCCACATACTGGCATTTCCAGTAACAACATGGTCAACAAAATACGAGGTTTTCAATTTATGCGAGTCAAACATGATAAGGGAAATTCCCACCAGTCTTTGAAGCTCAGATAATTTGAGAGCTCATAATAAACATAAGCAGCAGCACCATAAGCAGCATCCTTGAGAAGCAGTGCGGGAGTCATTTCATTAACAGAAGAAGGGCAACCATTCATTGCCTCTTGAAGAATGGAAACCACAATAGGGCCTAGCAGCTGTAAATTTGGATGATAAGAATCAGCAAACCACCACTTCACAACACATAGTAAAAGATTTATAGCCAAGTCTTAAAGAGTTATACGTAAAGTTGAAGAAACCTACTTGGCTGTGATTCTCAAACAAAACGATGTATAAGGCTTCAGCACATGGCCTTAATCTCTCCGACCACAAAACTGAATCTTGTTCATGATGAAAAGACTCAGGGTTCTGGTACCACTCTTCTAAATCACTTGTTGTTAAAACAAAATACCTGTTTAAGAATAAATAGCAGCACTGAGAAGAAATACGACAAAACATGAGAAAAGAGAAGTGACAGAACAAGAACAATATTTTATCCTAATTATATCCATCACTAACAGCAACCTATATCTCCTGTAAAAGACAAATTAAATGTGAAAGTCGAAAGAACAAGGAGCAGACCACAATTTCTCTAGTAATGCAAAGGATCTTGAAATTTGAAGTTTGAAACTTCCATTAAAAATTATGTTCATTCTAGAGTTACTTCATGCCAGCAAAATATTCACCCAATCTCCCATAATTATTTTAAGATTGTAGATCTTTACCAAAACATTACAGAAATTCAAGGAAATTTGACTGAACAATCAGAAAGATTGCAGGGAAGTGTATTATTTAGATTCCGCCAAGAATACAACAGAAAGTTTACATACAAATCAGAACAGGAACAAGGGTGAGAGGTCTACAGACAGAAAAAGGGAGCCAATTTACCCTCTCTTTTTGAGCATCTGATGTGATAATGGATCCGAATAACAAGTCGTCAAATCTCCAAATCACATGGATGAGGAAAAATATCATATATCCGAAATTTTCCAAGTTCATAACACAATAAAGAGTATTCAAAATCGCATTTGAATCAGTTGAAGGTAGCACGCATTTGAATATGCTTGCAAGTTTTACCCATAATTTATGAGAGAACAATCATATACAACCGTCGAGGTCCTAGAAGCCAATAATGGTACTTCGCAAAATGAAAAAATCCAGATATATCTGAGAGACCCCTATCATTTCAGTTAGCTCCTGGTGGAAGCATTGTTCCAAACTATATACATTACCAGAACCTATATCAATGTATAGAAGTAAAATAAAATAAAAGAAGAGGAATGATAGTATCTGGATGACTTTATTCTTACCTCCTTATTAGCACATTACACAACAACACTACTCGTTCACCAGGCAAAAGGGACGCAAGGACACCAGAAACTGTAGTAGATATGTTTTTCTTCATCTGCTCAGGGGTGATTCTGTTGTCATCCATAACACGGCCAGTCAAGCATGGCTTGTATTCTTTACATTCCAGAAGAGACTTTACCATTGACATGCACTGTATCTGAAATTCTTCAAATGACAACATATCTGGTTCGGGATTCGTGATCTTATTTATGCAAAAGTCAATGACAGGACCACAGACGTTTTTGTCACCAAAAGAATAAGGATGTCTGCACTGAATTGCAATTAGAATCTTCATTAATTTAGTGCATGCTTTCTTCAAGAACTCCCAGAATTTGGGATGTTTCTCTCGAAAAGATGAATCTGCAATTAAACTGTAAATCAGTGTACTTTCAAATGTCCACAAGAAAATTAAAACACTCTTAATAGGTAGTCAAATAAGTGATAACTAAAACACTTAATATGTATGACGCATTACTAATCCACTTCCTTTTGAAAAGTTTCAGGAAGAAGAGCACAAAGCTAAAATGCAATCGAATTTGTAGTCAATATCTCCAACGCATTCTTTATGTCCATCCATTATATAAGAATAAAAACATCAAGATATAACATGATAGCAAAAAGATGAACTGAATAGGTTAATTTATACATGGTAATGAAAGGTAGCTAAGGACACGGGGGTTTATATGTATCAAGCAATGTACAATAACCCAAAACTAAAAGATTTAAATAAAATGAAATAAGTGGAGTAATCTCACAGTGTGGGAAAAAGGACTGAATGGCATTCAACAAGACTGTAGATATCTCCTTGACTGGCCGCACCTCCTAAAACCAACTAAGTTCTATTAATGCAAGAAACCCCTAATACATCCTTTAAAAACAACAATTAGGAAACGAGGAAAAGTGTGAAACGAGAGATCTGGTGGAAGGATAACCACGCACCTGTATGGACATTGCATCACTTGGAAAACCAGAGACTATCAACTGACGAACAATTTTTGAACACAGAAACCACCTTTCACATGTTAGGTAAAGATCATCAAGATGCAACTCAAAAGCATTTTGAGCAAGCATGGAAAATCCGTGCAATATTGTCTGTGCATCACTCTGCCAAAGGTGCCAGCTATAATCTAAGAATTGGGACGCTATCTGGCAAATGAGCAACCATCGAAAATATCAAGCATATATGAGCATGATCCCTTATTAATTGGTATCAATCGGCAGCAGGATAAAACGAATAAATTCTACAAGAAATCTGATAAACATAAAGAGGAATATATCAATTTTGATAAGAATTTGAATTGCATGGCCACAAGAGCCATTTTCTGTATGGAATAAAGCAGTTCATTTCAACTCTAGTATACATAATGTTTTTATTTCATTTCAACTAATTTAAAACTTAGCTGTCCAGAGCTAAAGGTTTCGAAGCTGTATATCTTAAATTGCTAGTCTCTCTCTCTCTCTCTCTCTCTCTCTCTCTCTATATATATATATATATATATATATATAATTCGCTCGGATTACAGTACACTTGACCAGGGGCGGATTTAGGTGGTGACGAGCTAGGGCGGCCCGGGGAGAATTTTTTTTTTTTTTTTTAGCTGATAATAGATAGAATTTTTAGATTATATATTTGATAATTCATATTAACAACAAATATCTCTGGTGGCTCAGTTGATTAGCTCTTCCACTATTGAATTGGAGATCCTATTTTTGAAACTCTTCAAGAGCAATATTTTTTATAATTTTTGTATTTCAACAAATTTTACCAAAACAAATGCAAGGAAGGTAATTCAAACCCAGTACCTTCCTTAAACATATTGATCACTTTACCATCATGGCACTCATGGATTTTTAGCACATAATATAACAAAATAATATATTTTCAATTATACTGGTTTAATGCAAGTAGAAATATTTTAACCGGTACCTTGTCTCTCTTCTTGATTTTCATTATCTTTCCTTTTCTTTTCCCCTCTAATCAATTAATTTGAGAGTTTTGTCAATTAATTGTGAATGAATTTATAGGAGAATTGACCTTAGTGTCATAAGAAATCTTTCAACAAAACTTATTTAATTAATAAAAGATTCCACTTTTAGTTCACAAAAAATCAATTGCGAAAAAGTGGAAACATACAAGCACATAAATTTGATATAAGCACATAAATAATTTCAATTTTTTTAATATAATAATACTTGTTTAATTAACTTTAATTATAAACTGAATATTGACATTTTGTTAATATATATTGCCTATTCAATTGAAAAATAAATTAGGGCATTTTGCAGATTATGGAACGATTTTTCTATCCAAAATGAAAGTTCGTATTTAGTTCTAATTTTAGTGGTGTATCTAATTCTTCTAGCTTTAATCCGTATGATTTTTTGAATATTATTTAATTAAATATTAATAAACAACCCTGCTATGACGGGCGTTGGCCGTCAATAATAAGCTTTCAACACTCGCAGTTCGCCTTAGTTGAACTCGTCCTCTGGATTCACCCCTACACTGGACTAATTTAGGGGCTTCTATTTATAGTTTAGTGCGAGAACATGTTAGCCTCCCACATAGCATGCCAGCTACATGATTGTGTTTAGATAAGTTTTATGATCTGCTTTAATTGTTATTATAAAAACCTACCACCCATCTCACAAACGTCAATTTCCAAATCCACTTGAACTGAAATAAAAGGTGACAGTGAATTTGTGCAATACAAAAAGCTTTGACCTATAACATAAATAGCATGTGACAATTACGTTGTGTTTGATAACAGAGACAGCGCACGATTTTATTCACTTTTCTATTACCAAAAGAAATAAGAAAGTACGATATCTCTCACCTCAGCGAAGGCCCTCTGGTCTGAAGTAAGACGTTTAGTTGACAACTCCTTCAATGTCCGGAAAAGGATCATGAATATTCTATGAGAAGAAAGAATATCAGCAGATTGTAGCTGTTGTGCTAAGACAGAGAAGAGGTCTGACCTGCATGCATAATAGCGCATTAGTTTTAGTACATAATGGTGACAAAAATAAAGTATAATGTAGAATATATCAAAAAATCATATTTATAATGTGACGACATAACTAGGAATTTGCAGAAATTTTATGCCTTGAGAAGAGATGCCTTTACCAAATTGTTGATGTATTAAGCATGCCAAAATCATGTTTAAATCACAGAAATTATAAATATTGCAATCAGCATTCTTCATTTGTGTGCATAATAAAATAAATTTTAAGTCCTTTCTATTAACATGAACAAATTATTCCATTATTCTTCACTACTTGAATAAGCTAAATCAAGTCTTCCCTATAGAATCGTGTCAATTGCTTTGCTCAAAATATTAAGCCCCTATTTGGCCCCATTTCTTAAAACTCATTTTTCCCCAAACTCATTTTCAACCACATATTTCATGGAATCCACAACTTTTATTAACTTTTCAACCACATCTAATCAACTTTTATCAAAATTTACTAAAAATCTTAACCTTTATCCAAACCAAACAGGGGCTGAGATTATAAAGTAAATAGAATAAATGACAGCACAAACAATATTTTGTCAATTATATATCATTAAGAAAAATTGGAGTAGATGTCTTACCATTCCTTTGGATAGTCAATACGAGCGATCTTTGAGATGATAACAGCCAATGTAGTAGCAATCTGTGATGTCCAAATTCATAAACAACGTAAAATTACAAAACCTAAGAGTGTTGTGCTTAGATGAGAGGAGAACTACATAATTTAATTTAAAATATAAGAAATTCTTTACAGAAGGCATCTCAAACCAACCATGATAAAAGAGTAGAATTTCATAGCAGTAAGCAAATAATTTCACTTTATTATTGGTAAGAACCTATAAACCATTATTTCTAGTCAACTAAAAGTATCTATGCAAACCTTGAAATAATGAGCATGAAATTAACAAACTTTACCTGATAATTCTCTTCTCTCAAATGTGACAGCAATTTTTTCTTCAAATGCAGTTTCTCTTCATTGCTTATACCCCTACAGAGGCATTTCTACAGTTAGATCTGACACCTTGAGTAAAAATATCTATTTATGCCAATAATAGAAGACACGGAGACAGAGAAGGCAACCAAACCTGGGGGCCAAAAAAATACTGTGGCATCATGACATTAGAGCTGGATAGCACTAAAATTCTTCAAAATGGGGATCGAAAAGTGAAGAATGAGACTATACATTGCACTAGTGTCAATGTAAAACATGTGACTCGAACATTTGCAACTAATGCATCATTTGTAAGCATTTCCATGATTGAGCAAAAGATGAATGGTAACTACATTCGTCAAATTCATCAATCTGAGGTGCTTATTTCTCACCAAGATATCTGATTTGTGAAAATGCAATTTTTATTTCTAAATAGGCATCACAGCAAAGTATTCACGGCTCATATAAAAAATTAAGCTAGGTATTCTAATTTGGCATTTATTCCTAAATTTAATTTTTGTAGAGTGTGGAAAGAAATACAATGCCAGCATTAGCAGCAAAAGCAACGGAAAAGCATGAAATAAATAGATAAAATACATACGTGGAGTCGCGCCTGTTCCTCCAATACCGGCTTATACTATTCTTGAAATATACTGATGCCATTAATCGTATATCAGCCTGGGATGCTAAATCCTTCGCTGTTATTACTTCCTGCACCATCAGTATCTATGACTCAAACCCCCAAGTTTCAATTAAGACTGTTACATCCACACTGATTATTCATTGACCATTCTGTACGAAAACAAAACCTGTGAAGAATGAGGGAAGAGAGTGAAAAAGAATACCATTAGGCAAGAACAAAAACCGGGCCGGCTCTCGGATTGCGCGAGGGAATCCTCGGCTGGCTCCCGCACAGTTTGGTCACCGCTCAATGAATTGGCGAGCAATGTGTACATCGTAGGTAAGTCCGATGCTGACAGCGCCATAACTTTTCTGAAACAGCGAATTTGAAGTGGATTGCGTGAGTGCTATGGAGAACAAGAAGACTAATGCTGATGGCGATATTTTGGATCGATGTGACAAGTAGAAAAGAAGGGTATACCAAGACGAGTCTGGGGTTTTCACTTCAGGCCAAGGTTTCCGGCGAAAAAGAAGCGGGGTGATGGTTGATCCGGCGAAGGGTGGAGTAAGGGTAAAGCCTCTCGCCGGTGAGACTCTGAGCTGGAAATGGACAAGGAAAATGAGGCTGGCTATTTTTTTATTTTTTTTTTGGGGTATTTATAGCCGCCAGATTTTGACTAACCTGGCTACCTTATTTTGATTTAAAAAAAAAAAAAAAACAAATCTGCAACATTTGGTTTACTTAAAATTTTGATTTTAATAAAAATTAAAATTTGAATATATAATTAAAAATGTGCTTGATGAAAAATAAATTTAAAAAAATGAAAGACGAAAAATGATTGTATGAAAAAATTTAAACCTTCCTATATTAAATATTTTTTCTTTTTTAACTATAGTTCTTGAGAACTAGTTTCTTCAATTAGCATTTCTGAATGAATTGTATTTAAAAAGTGATAATTTACAAATAAATATGATAACAGTAAACACCTAATCGATCAAATTAAAGTAGCTTAAATATCTTGCTTCCTTAAAGATTTTTAAACCTCATGATATCTTAAAAACTATAATTTTTACTAAACGATAATCATCACTTGTAACTCCAATGTTAGCTCAAGTATATTTGAAAATTGTTTATAAACTATTTAAAATATAAACAAATAGAATGAGTGATAAGTAAATAAATAATAATTGTTTCTCTTGAAATGTGTAAATATAAGCAAAAATGAGAATAAAGATTATCGATATCAGTCCAATAAATCAACCATATCAATGCTAAGGATAATATGATTATAGATATTATCACTCCGTAAAATGTTAGAGATAGAAGAGAGATAGTCCTTTGTTCCAAATCATCCCAATTATTAAGCTCATGTTGATGCAGATTAAAAATCAAAATTTTAATAGATTTTGGTAAATATTGATTAAATGTATGGTTAAAAATTTGTGAGACATATGAAATATGTAGTTAAAATTCATTGTTGACTTTGATTTATATAATTCTTAATCCATGTCACAAGGGGGCTAAATGAACTAATAAAGCACCAAGGATAAATCATACATCTAGAGTAGTTTTGTTCTCTCTACTCATTTGGGCGCACTGCATTGTTTTTTGGGAACATCACGTAAATCCTCCATCTAAAAATCACATTTCGAAATTAATAAATTTCTAAAAAAAATTTGAAAATCGGATGATAATTAAGTTTATTAAATATTTAATTAATTATATTAATATAATATAATTAATCTACCTATGCCACCCCACGTCCAACCAACTCACCCATCATATCAAACCTTTCTTTTCTCTCTCCACCCTACCCCACCTTGGCGACTTATCCAGCGACGGCTCCGACGTCAATTCCCTCAACCTATCCAGCACCGACAACTACTCCGATGAATATTTCGACGACCTCCAGATGATGGCTCTGATGACCGTTTCGACGACTATTTCGGTGACCGCTCACCTTTCCGGCGACTATCTTCTTTTCTTTTCTTTTTTTCTTTTTTGGCAATGACCTGTGACCAATTCCATTAGATTTGTGACCTACGTACATTGTGATCTGTGACTAGTTCTATTGAATTTGTGACATACTCAGATGGGATGAATATGCATATAATCTATTTCAAAATTAAGAAATAAAGTTTGAAATTTCAAAAATCAAATACTATTAAAATTTTAGTTATGAAGTAATTAATAAAAAAAATGTTTTTGTAATTAAATATATTAAATTCACAAATCTTTTTTTTTCTTTTTCCTGAGCAATAACTTGCGACATGTGTACATTGTGACATATAGCCCTCGTTTGGTGCACATTATTTGGGAAAATAACACATTTTTTCATCAAATCAGCTTAGAATATTTGACTTCAACACTCTAAAGTAGGACCATGATGTGATGTTTAAAATGCTTTTTTGGTGGAAAAATGTGGAACAAACAACCCCATAAAATATGATTTTTAACCTGTGATTTGTTACCCATGACTCATAACATAAAATATGACCGTAAATTTGATCTGTAACTTCTACAAATGACATGTGACCTGTTAATATTGATCTGTGACATATTTATACTAATTTGTGACTTATATGAAATGACTGTAACTTGTGAACTCAAATATGTGACTAGTGAACTATAACCTTAACTGCGAATTGTGACCCGTAACGTATGAATTGTGACATTATGTGTTCACGACCAAATTTATCTTCTATGTAATTGTCTATGACCATGTTAGTTTAATTTGTGACTATATGCAAACAAGTCACACACAGTCACAGTTAACACAAATCTGGTCATGGACAATAACAATGAAGATAGACTTGGTCACTCATCACTATTCTCAACGTCGTCAACCATATGTACACCACCTCACCAGATGCACATATACTTCCAATAACGAAACCATTGGCAAAGCACCGCATCGCACTATACCCCACCATAATACAACCTTAACAGCATCGCCACCAACGCCAGCACCATGACCAAGACCGCCACCACCAGATTCAACAAAAATCACTCCAACCACCATTGCCACCAACAAAAATTAGTCACCCCCATTTCAAAAACTCAATTTCACCTTAGTATTCCTAATTCCAACACTCATTCACGGTAGCCCCATCATCTCAAACACCGCAAATAGCACCATCTCAAAGTCGAAAATCAGATACAAAATCGCTAACACCCTACAACAGCCATAACTGCACTGCCGTCATTGCCACCCTATCATCTCCTTCACCACTACCACAACTACCATTTCTAATCAACACTCATTCATAGATTTGCTACTGCTACTGCCACCACTAGATCTGTTACCATCAACATCACCACTACCAACACCGCACACCATTGTCGTCGATCCACCATCACCTGCACCAGCCAGTTGTGCACCATCAAACTACAGCAGCGACAGGGATGAAGCCGCTTTGTAATGTTCACATCGACGCTGCAACATTCACATGGCGATGCTGCTTCACAGCCGCTCTGCAACATTCACATCGGCACCGCATTCTGCTTCACTTCGTTGAACTGTGGCAGTAGCACTCACATCAGGCAAACTTGCTGCAATGACGATTGGACGACAATGGCGATCTGAGGGTAGAGCCACCACAGTGACGACTCTCACATCAGGCGAACTTGTTGTAGTGATGATTGAGTGACGGCGACTATCTGATGGTAGAGAGTCCGGTGGTGGAGAGAATGGAGAGGATTGAAGAGATGAGAGAAAATTGATTTTAGGGTTTGAACGGGTAGATAGGGTAGGATGTGTATCAATTAATTTAGTAATTTCTAATTAACATTTGATATATGAAATTTAAACTTAATCTCATTGTTTATGAAAACTAGTCTTTAATTGTAGGTTTGTAAGTAATTTTCTCTCTCTCTCAAATTTATCATTTATTATTTTTTGATAACCCAAAAACCTATCCATTAGACCAAAGATTGTACTTGGGCCCCATACTTTTAAAAAAATCGATTGTGCTTCATGCATATAATTGTTTACATACATATAATATGGTGAAATATGATCGAGTTAAAATTTATGCGACCAAATAAAAAAAAAGTAATGCTATTTAACCCATTAGGATTATAACCCAATATATGTGGCGCTAATGCGACATTAAATGATAAGTACAATTGGATTAGTCATTTACTTCTATATTTCATTTAACATATCACGTAACACTGCATAAAATGGGGTTTAACTCTAGTGTGCTAAATAACATTATTCAAAAAAAATAATTAAAAAAATTTCTCTCTCTTTTTAAAATATCATTAGTATGTAAATCATTATGTAAGTCCTTATTCACTAATAGCATATCCTTAATTAAAATTTCTACTTGTATAGAAGCTGTGGTGCCAAAATTTTACCAAATGTTGCTGTCGTATCTGTTGTTCTTCTTTTTTTTTGTCATTGTCTAACGGAAAACTACTATGTGTATTTCGTGGAAATTCTGGCAGAATATACACATAGCATATTTCATTCTTAATTACTTAGTTCTCTACATTTTTAAATTCTAAGCAATAATTCTTTTATAAAAAATCAAGTATATTAATCCCATATCCCCACTCGCCATTACCAGTCACCACAATCCATCCCCAAGTTAATTGTTCCAATGGTAACTAAATTTTGATTCATGTTTTCGATTGCTCGCTGAACTTTAAAATGTCGAGTTTTGATACTGAACATAGGTCTATATCTTCGATTGTTCATTAAAGTTTATAATGTCGAGTTTTGACTGCTAAATTTTAAAAATATTTTACGTTACTTACTAACATAATTTTCATTTCAAACCTCTAACGAAATTGGTGACGTGGCTGACAAAATGCACACATGGCGTGTCACCCTCATACCATTAAATTTTGAGATGATCGAATTTTGGTTACTAAACTTTGAAAAATATCTTCTATTGCTCACTGAACTTTGAGGTGGTCAAATTTTGGCCACTGAACTTTGAAAAACGTCGAATTTTGGCCACTAAATTTTGAAAAATATCTTCTATTGTTCATTATAACTTTGGATTTAAACACACATCTATACAATATAATATTTTTACACGTAAACTCAAAATTTTTTCTAGCATTTTAACCACAAACTAGTCTTTAATTGTAGGTTTGTAAGTAATTTTCTCTCTCTCTCTCAAATTTATTATTTATTATTTTTTGATAACCCAAAAACCTATCTATTGGAAAAAAGATTGTACTTGGGCCCCATACTTTTAAAAAAATCGATTGTGCTTCATGCATATAATTGTTTACATACATATGATGTGGTGAAACATGATCGAGTTAGAATTTATGCGACCAAATAAAAAAAAAGTAATGCTATTTAGCCCATTAGGATTATAATAGATCCTTTTTTGCAGGCATAAGAACTTTTTCCTTTATGTTCGGCGGAAATTACACGTTAGACCATATTTTTCGAAATAGATATCTGTGTTATGCTACAAGTCTAAATTTTGAAAAAAAAAAAACGGATGAGATTGGGTCCCCTTGACCCATACTGATGAGAATTTGACTCCACGAGAAATTGAACAAAAAGCCGTCGAATTGGCCTATTTCTTGCGCGTACCAATTAAAGTCTTTTGAGAAATGTAAATATGGGTTGAAGAATGAATGCTTCGCAATATGGGTCTAGCTTATTGATACGTTCCA